CTATATGGAGGTTTTGAAAGATAACAGCCTTTAATGTTCCTAAACTTCATTCACATAAAAATGCACTTTTGTCGCATCAATAGCATTTTTAACCAAAAAGTGACGAAAATTAGATCCAATATGATAATTGTCAAATATTTTCTACTTAATGTGATTGTTATGGCTGTAGTTTGAAATTAACATATATGCTTTGATGCTTAAAGAGCTTTAAACATACCTGGTGAATCTTATTAAGGCGATACAATCACGTTTTCAGTCCGTGCAATATTATTTTCTGTATTTCAATTTTGTTATAAAAGAAGACATTTCTTAGCAAAGATTGTTCAAATGAATGATTTCATTTGAATGACCTTAATTCACTTCCAAGGTCACATCTTGTCAATTGTGAATAAAGGAGAGGGGACAAATGACATATATAGCATGGAAATTGTTTTCCGAAAAGGTTATTTAAAGAAATATTTTACTTGCCCAGTGCTTACATGAAGTACATTACGCAACTTATGTCTTATCCGGTCGTTTTGTTTTAGACAGGCAGAATTCAGTTTTCTGATTTTTCCACAAATTCACCTCGAAATATGATAGTTTAACGTAACGTCAGTATGGCCACGGACTTAGATAGCAACGGCAATCCTTAAAGGGACATCACGTGAAAAGGCGTTTTTTTTTTAATGAATGTATGTATTGTATGCACTTTCACTTATGTTACCTCGCTATCCCCATATTCATAGTCCGTTCCACTTGAATTGTTCGGGAAAGCCCGGCTAAAAATAGCGCCGATAACGTCACCTGATTAGGCAGCAAACACAAGTGGTGCGAGCGAGATGAAACGGTTTACAAAGGGGCCCTCAGAGAGGGGCCGTCAGGCAACTGCAACTTCTTACCGCACTATGAAACCAAGTTATATGATTTCTAATTCCGTATTCAAACTTATTGAACAGTAATTATTCATCATCAGAAGTTAATTGCACACTTGCCAATATTAAGAATTTAAATTTATTTAGCTTTTAACATAAATTTGTTGCCAATAAAATTAAACAAAGGATGGGGCACAAGTTTTTACAATTTATCACAGCCTTCTCCCGTGACCGGTACAGGTGGTACGGGGCTAAACACTCCCTCAACAATGGGACAAACCTTTCTGTAAAAAGGAATATTCACGAGACGAATATCCCTTTTCAAATGTTTACATAAAGTGCATATATGCAATGACAAACTACACGCGAATATAAAAAGGAAACGTTTGTGAATTTATTTATTACATTAAACAACTCAATGTCTTTGGCCATTTTTTTTCTAGACCATGAATATAAATCTATGTATACTCTCTTTCCCACTTTCACTGTCTCCAAACGCTAACATTTAGGAAGTCATATTAACCATCACACACAATAAACTGTATGGCAAAACCACTACGTGTACATGTAGAATATGTGTCAATAAGGAACGTGTTGAGATACTTGATAATTATATTTTTTCAATACTTTACAGAGATTAAAGCATACTTTTAAATGGACCTTTTTATGCTGAGACAACTTTTCTTTAATCAGTTCCTTTGGTCCGAAACAGAAGCCGTAGTTATCGGCAGCACGCGCCATTTTTATAACGTAATCAAATATTTTTTCCCCTGTTTTCAATACGTATTCCGATTCTATCTGAAGTCGAAAATTTATTCTTTATAGAGAAAAGGTTGTTACATGATCATACATTCTAAGTCAACATCATATGAAAACATGAACTGTTGAAAAATTACGATTTAAAAAAAAAGTGTTATGCGATCCTATTTACTAGAAGTAGGTTCTCCTTCCTCAGTTATTCATCCTGGTCCGTCATTTTGACATTTTTAATCTAGCTGCGATAACGTAGCTTTCTGACGAAGAGCGATTTTTTTTTTATATATTGCGTCGTCGCGCCAGGGCAGGCCGGGTATTATATTAGTACTAATTTAAAACTTGCATGTCAAAACAAAAAACAATCGTTTAATTCAGCAATATAATTAAATCATACCATTTTACTGATCCCGGTAATATTATAAATTATGTAAATCTAATAGCGCACGTATCTCATTTGACCCCGAGCACCGACAGAGGATCAGAGAACAGAATACGCCGTGGCCATCACAGCAGTTATCCCTTGGGGGGCCTCATGGCAAAATCAAACTAACCAGTCACTTATCCCTTTCGTTTGCATAAACCACTGTATAATTAAAAAAAACACAAAGTAAACTCTCTCCGATACATGCCCATTAACATATTAAACTAAGTTCATCTGTGTTCAAACTCACACAATGATACTAGCGAGGTTAATAGTTTTAGATATTTATTCATAACATAAACAGCGCTAGCATTTCTGTCGATTTTATTTCAGCTTAACCGGCCGCTATCCGGAAGAAAACATGCACCGTACTGACTGCTAGGGCAGTTATTTTCTGCTTTGAATACTTCCCACTGGCAATAATGATTCCGTAACGTACCCCTTGCGCTATCTTTTGACCATTTGGCAACTATTCGCTTCGTAGCTGACACGGTACAACACTTTTCTTTGGCTTACTTCACACGGCCAGTCATTTTGTTTACAAAGAAATGGTGTGCTATGCGCATGCGCTAGTAGAGGGAAATCCCTGAACAAAACGTTGGTCAGACAGGTAGAAATACCGATGATTATCTTAGATTTAATCATTTTTATGAATCTATTTCAGCCAAATCCGATCGGCATTTTCCATAAGGAGTCTCACTTGATATGTTTATGTAGTATTTGGAAAAAAGACAAAAAAAAAAAGTTACTTCAGCGTGATGCCCCTTTAACGGGACATTTTTTTTTATAACGTTGTCACAAAATTCTTCATGATTCTATAGTTTGATACTCCTTATGAACTATTCATGTCGAGAAATTGACAAGAAACAATGTTCTTTAAATTTGTCGTGAAGTTTTTGTCCATTTACATATTAATACTACTGTCATGTGACTGTGGATACAGATATTCCCACAAAGGGTTTATTTACGGCAGGATTTCTCACCCCGACAGGATTTCTCCTCCGGGTCCTTAAATGACCTTAGCTGTTAATAGGACGCTAAACAAAATGAAACCAAACCAAGCCACAAGGAGTACACGAGGAGTCCGGCCATAAATAGAAGAGTAATCAAAAGGAAAAGATGACCATGATTATAATGTCACTATTATTACAGTATATATGTGGTCTATTAATGTTGAAGTTGTTTCAGTCACTCATGGTGGTATCATTAACATATTGAATAGGGTTAAACTGACTTGTTACTTCATTCCATTTACAATAAGCTCCCTTCGTTAAACCAATATTAAAATCACCCATTAAGATGATATCAAGATTTTCATTAGCAGCTTTTTCAAACATTGAGTCAATTTGTTCAAACCACAAGTTATTTTTATTTTGAGGTCTATAAACAGAGCAAAGCAACAATCGTTTACACTATCGGGCCTTACAGTATTGCTTATGAATTTCTAACCATAGGCACTCAATACTCTCACATTCGAAATTCATTCTTCTACAGTATGGAAAACATTCATTAATGTATACTTCAAGTCCTCCATCCATTCTGTTTTGTCTATCTTTTCTTTCTATGGTAAATCCTTCGATTCCCAATAAGTTGTCATCATTGATAAGGTCAATCGACTTAAAGTAATAAAGAACTTAAACTTGATTGTTTAAGAATGTTTCACATGTACCAATGTTATGTCAATTTAGTGTTTGGCATAGCAGGTAAGTTGTTTCATCAATTTTGGGAAGAAGGTGTCTCACATTCAGGTTGCAAATGTTGATACCTTTGGCTTTAATTGGAAATTTGAGAATTACTTTTATCTATAAATTGATAATGATTATTATTGTCTGTTGGAATGAGTGGACTAGTATTCGGATCATAGTTGGAATCATCTTCACTTTCACTCAAAGTACATATTTTATTCAATAAATGCTTAGGATAATCTATGTCACTATGCACATCAGTAGGATTATTAATTACAACAAATCTAGTACATTGATTTACGCATCAAATATTGTTATCGCGTGTATTTGTTTGATTATTACGAAAACCTATTAGGGTCACTTATAAACATGGCATTATTACATATGCTTTTTAGATTGTTTTTTTAAAAATTAAATTGTCTGCCATTCCTCATGAGAATTGGTAAGGTACATCTCCAACATCATCACTTGTTCGTAAAGGGGCATAACTCTTACTCAAATAGTATAAGCGGCGCATGGCTGGTGACAAGTGAAGGTGTTAAATAATTCCAATACATGATCAGTACGATCCTCTACATCAGACTCAAACACGATTTCAGGAAATGAAAAGAAACATGCACACACATGTGGCAATTCGGTTGTAGTCTATAAACCAGAAATCTATGCCTAATCAGAGACGTATATAACACATATATATGGCTTTATACGTCTCTGGCCAAATGATATGATAAATTAATAACGAACAAAAAGCAACCAGTGGCTATGATCCAGAGTTTTTTTGGGGCTTCAGGAACACACACCCCCCCCCCGAGAATTTTCTTTAAAAATAATGTATTTTCACCATTTTCCTAAATTTCCCCCCACATGGAAACCACCCCAGATAAGTCTCTGGATCCGCCACTGCAAAGTACCTGTAGACCTGTGTTGCACTTGTCTTCAACTGACTGACTTGTAAACATGGAATCTAATTCTTTTGTTACACCAGAGACGTATATTACATATCTGAGGCAGATACGTATAAAGTGTTATATACGTCTCTGTCTGAGATTACCACCGCGGACTTAAATCTAATTCCGTGCTCACACCAAGGACCTGATATGTGATAAACTTAATAAATAAAATAATGTTATGAAGATTGGTGGAAATGTTATTAATGATTTTATATGATGCATTTGAAGAAAATGCAAGGATTGTTTGCTCCGGGGCGTATCAAACCAATTTTAATTTTCGTGGGAAATAGAAGCGTAATATCCGGGTAATTTGCATGCAAGCCTCGATCTGGATCACGGAACAGATCACCGCCATTTTGGTTAAAAATTTACCAAAAATATGTCCCTCGAAGGACAACAAGCCGGGCAAATACAAATAGAAAATGTCTCGGGTAAGTTCTATTTATTAAATATTGTCACTAGGAATCTATATACCTGTTTGTGTATTCCATAAAATGTACATGACTAGAATTGAAGCGTGCTAATTTCTCGGTAGTGCGTCCGCGTCACTAACCTACACAGTAGTGTATGCGCAATAATACGCTCGATTTCATTCAGGACTTGAACCTGATGGTGAAAAATGATGGTATTCCTACTCCAGGACGCGTAGAAATATATTTGGGCGATTTTCACAGTCTAGATTACTTAGGTCATACACTTCCACGGTCGAGCCCTAAACTACTCACGAAGCAGACCAGTGAATGTTGGGAATACATAAATCTCTGTTGATGTTTTTGTTGGTACTTTTTCACGATATGTTCAGAAACGGATGCAAAAAATGTACATCCATGTTTGGTGGACAGTTAGAAAGGGATGGGTGGCATGTGCCCGTTGATGTTTATGGCAAATTATGCTGTATCGACGTGAACCGACGAAAATCGCTTTCATACTTCAAAAAATATTAGAAGTGTAAGGAAACGCATTCAAAACATCGCTTTATATAAACACATTGAAATAAAAATATTTCACATCCGAACACTTGCAGTTTCATGTGTACAACGTGCAGGATATAAAAAAGGTGAAATATTGTACACGGAATTGCAAAAAAATATAAGGTTTATTGCTTTTATGTCCCACAAAGGTTGTGTTATTTAGTTAAATTTCCGGACACCTGTTCCATTTAGGGACCATTGAACTACAGGTGGCATAAAAGACTGAAATAAATAAGGGAGGGGTAGCATTACAGAGAGCATGACATTATTTTAATTTTAATAGGCTTAGAATCATCAATGCTTGTGTAAGTTTCACTGTAACAGTTTAATTTGAAAATAGTCTGATTCACAGACTAAGATCTAATCTAATTCTGTGTCTGAACAAAAGATAATCCATGAACATATTCAATCAACTTGTATTTGCATAAAATATCACATTATTGCATGTGTAACTGAAAAACGAAATATACAATAAACATTGTTCATCAATGTGTAAACATAAATTATCTGGTCAAAGTAAAAATTAATATAGATTAAATTGTAGATGACTTTGGGCCTAACAACACAAGTGTACTTTTGGGACTCGATCAGGTTGAAGTCGAACTCCAAATTCCCATGATAAATGCATCTGCATGCTCAGTGAATGCAGAATGTTTACTGTTAAGTCAACTCTGTTATTATTTTTTTTCATAACTACTGCCAAATTCATAAGCTGATGTAGCAATATATGACTAATAGGACACTGAAACCTCCAAAATCTATTCAGATACTCTACCAATCGAGCTTATAATCTGGTCAACCCAGTTCAGTTCCACTACACATACAAATGACAAATTCATGTAAAATAGAAATTTTTAGGTTAAGAACACTGAATTTTAATTATTACATTAATTAAAAATGAGGAAAGTATAATGTGAAAGGAACCTATTTACAATAATCTATCGGCCTGTAAAATAAAGCTTATATCAAGTTTCAAAACTATCCAGCATCAAGACTAACCTTTAAAGTCAATTATTCTTTTGCCAAAATATTGGGGAAAATATAGTTGCAATTATAAATGTACAAATATATCTATATGATTTTAAAGTTGTTCTGGTAATGCCTAAAAAAGAGAATGCCACAATTCTGAAACAAACAGGCCCAAGGTTGTTTCTATATTATAGAAAAATGTACGGCCAGACCGGGGTTTGAATCCGGGACCCTCCAAACTCTGAGACGAATGCTCTACCAATTGAGCTACCTGGTCGCCGACGTTCGACCCTGTCCAGTTCTTCCACTACATTGCTCCCTCCTTTAACATAGTCTTCGACCACAAAGACACACTAGACCCCATACCAGTTCTGCTACAGATGTATTATCTTGATGATCTAAATTGGTTGTTGAAATGGCTTTAATTTGAAATAGCATGTATTGTGGTATTCTGTTTAGTCTTTAAAAAAGTATTTTTTTATGATTATTTAACAATTACCAAACAAAAAACAACTCAAAACACGTTTTTTTCTGCGATGGTGGACCTTCAGGCACCTGTGATTGGTGTAACCGTGCCTCATTGATTTATATTCCTCATCTTTATTACAGAGCAGGATAATATTGTTACCATAAGCTTGTGCAGTGCTGCTGATCTTGAAAATGTGGCTGGAAGTCTGGTGGTCGCTGATGGTTCAGGACTTGGTAGGTATATTTAGTGAAGTGCCTGTAACAAAAAAACAACACGACTATGGCTTTGCAAAGATGCCATACCTATAAGATGCTTGGGACATAGCGCAGAAAAGCTATACATGTAATACAAAGATTGTAATGGTAACTCAAAATGGTCAACATCCATAAAGTTAACTAGTGTAGCTTTACATATGTAGGTTTCTAAAATTTCACTTTAATGTCCGTATTATTAAGATATTACATACAATTTGTTACCCAACACATTGCAAGATATAAGATAGCCTTTGATTACAATTAGGCAACTAGCCTGAAGGGGGCAAGAGTGTCATGGTGTTGCGTCTGCCATACTCTTTTAATGATTTATTTAAAAGACATTAAGCAACTAGTTCAGAACAGTTTAATATATTGATTTGGAGAAGCTTTTCTGCTTCTTTAGTATGGGCAAAAGAAATTGGATTTTAATGTAGTATAAAAACCCTGGACCATGGTGACATGCCTAGGTTTATAATTTATGTTATACATGTGAAAACCAAGTGGGTTATTGATAAGGAGGAACTGAATTGGTTTCTATGTATATACAGATTATGCCCAGTACATCACTCATGCCACTGTGGCCCAGATGGCTCAGGTGGCAGAGACGGGAGAAATGGTGGCCTTTGTGGAACAGCACATCATTGATCCACAGCAGGAGAATATTGACCCACAGCAAAACGTTGACCCTCAAAATATGGTGGAACATGTGGTGTACGAACAGATTCCTGCTCAGCACATTTTCGCCCTCCCGCCTTCACAACCACTACATCCTAAAAAGGACAGTGTCAAACCGCCTGTTGGAAAGGTAGATAACTCAGTCTGCCTATCACTTATATATCAATGTGAAAGCTATATTATTTAATTGTGGAATATTATGTGTAGATGAAAAAATGAAAGAAAATATATTTTAGAGGTTTTGAAAATAATTCAAATGATAGGTAATCTAAAAAAAAAAATATGCAAGTGAAAGTTGTAGATCTACAACATATTCATATTCAATTTTGTTTTGTTTTGAATTAAACATGTATATTGAATAAGTACAACTATTGATTATTAATAATGGTCATTATTTAGACAAAGAATGTTTAATACCAGTCCATGTGACCTGGATATGAAATGATTGATCCACACAATAAACTTAAGTGAAGTATCAGATTGAATGCCTGTAGGCAAAGTCAATAGAATTATTATAAAATGTTGATGTTGTGTTAAACACAGGGTCCATTCAAGTGTGATACTTGTGAAAAAGTGTTTCCCAAATGGAACCAGTACCAACGGCATCAAAAACTTCACGAGGAAGACAAGCCATTCGCCTGTAACCAGTGTACTGCCTCATTCAACGTTGAGGATAATCTGATCCTCCACGAGGCTACCCATGTACAAGATGGAGACCCAACCTGTCCCGAGTGTGGCAAGAAGTTCTCGCGTATTGCCAGTCTCAAAGCACATATCATGCTCCACGAAAAGGAGGAAAATCTCATGTGTACAGAGTGTGGGGACGAGTTTAGTGTACAGGTATGTACCACAGTGTACTGGTATGTAACACAATGTACTGGTATGTACCAGTGTACAGGTATGTACCACAGTGTACAGGTATGTACCACAGTGTACAGGTTAGTACCACAGTGTACAGGTATGTACCACAGTGTACTGGTATGTACCACAGTGTACAGGTATGTACCAAAAGCATCCAATATCACAAAATTTGCAACTATTAGTAAACTCTAGTACCTCACAATATTTTACAGTTTAACATGAGAAATGTAAGAAAAAGATCAACATTGAAACCTCCATGTTCATGATTTTATTGTATGTAATCGTTAATAAATTGATCAGAGAAATTTAAATATTATCTAACAAACATAACTTGATCAATTAATTTAAAACCATTGACTTACAATTAGACCTATTGGAACAAGTTACATATGTACACTCACTTCTAAACCCAACATGATGTGGGTACAAGTCAAGTATTGACGTACAGTATATTTCAAGTGAGTGGGATAAAGAATGAAAGGACATTATTTGTATCAATTTGTGTAATCTTTTAAATTAGTATTTGAGTTTGAAATAGTTTGACCTGTTAACTTTGTTGGATCTTATGCTTGAATACTTGTTCTACAATTTACTATATATCAATAAAATAATTTCCAAATGTCATATGAATTGTTCAGAATGATATGTATTTTGTCGTCCATGTTGATTGTAGTATCATTATACATGAAATTTGTGGATTTCTTCTTAAGTTGTTGCTTGTTGATTTTGTAGAGTCAGTTAGACAAACACTTGACCGAACATCGTCAGGAACAGGAGGGGATCAAAACCTATCCCTGCAGACAGTGTACCCAAGAGTTCAACAAGCCTGCCTTCCTACGGGAACACATGAAGCAGCACTACAAAATCAAGTGAGTAAAATGTACTAAGTGAAGCTCATCATACATACCTTGACCATTTAAGGTTTATCAAAGATCTATAACAAGCTCAGAAAATAATGTGAAATTGTCCGATTGCTTTTACTTATGAACTGTTATTTGAATATGTTGTACATCGCTATTCCTGTTTTAGGTCATCTCTTGCTCACAGAGCCTACAAGAGGAACATTGACCGATCCACATTCCACTACAAGTGCCAACACTGCGGGAAGACCTTCCAGAAACCCAGCCAACTGGAACGACATAACCGTATCCACACAGGTAAAAACTAGCATCAATACAAGTAGAAACTAGCATCCACACAGGTAGAAGCTACAAGCCACACAGGTAGAAACGTAGCATGTACATGTACACAAGTAGAAACTAGCATCCACACAGGTAGAAACGTAGCATGTACATGTACACAAGTAGAAACTAGCATCCACACTGGTAGAAACGTAGCATGTACATGTACACAAGTAGAAACTAGCATCCACACAGGTAGAAACGTAGCATGTACATGTACACAAGTAGAAACTAGCATCCACACTGGTAGAAACGTAGCATGTACATGTACACAAGTAGAAACTAGCATCCACACAGGTAGAAACGTAGCATGTACATGTACACAAGTAGAAACTAGCATCCACACTGGTAGAAACGTAGCATGTACATGTACACAAGTAGAAACTAGCATCCACACAGGTAGAAACGTAGCATGTACATGTACACAAGTAGAAACTAGCATCCACACTGGTAGAAACGTAGCATGTACATGTACACAAGTAGAAACTAGCATCCACACTGGTAGAAACGTAGCATGTACATGTACACAAGTAGAAACTAGCATCCACACAGGTAGAAACGTAGCATGTACATGTACACAAGTAGAAACTAGCATCCACACTGGTAGAAACGTAGCATGTACATGTACACAAGTAGAAACTAGCATCCACACTGGTAGAAACGTAGCATGTACATGTACACAAGTAGAAACTAGCATCCACACAGGTAGAAACGTAGCATGTACATGTACACAAGTAGAAACTAGCATCCACACTGGTAGAAACGTAGCATGTACATGTACACAAGTAGAAACTAGCATCCACACAGGTAGAAACGTAGCATGTACATGTACACAAGTAGAAACTAGCATCCACACTGGTAGAAACGTAGCATGTACATGTACACAAGTAGAAACTAGCATCCACACTGGTAGAAACTAGCATCCACACAAGTAGAAACTAGCATCCACACTGGTAGAAACGTAGCATGTACATGTACACAGGTAGAAACGTAGCATGTACATGTACACAAGTAGAAACTAGCATCCACACTGGTAGAAACATAGCATGTACATGTACACAAGTAGAAACTAGCATCCACAAAGGTGGAAACTAGCATCCACACAGGTAGAAACTAGCATCAGCACAGGTAGAAACTTATATCCACACAGGTAGAAACTAGCATCCACACAGGTTGAAACTAGCATGTACATGTACACAGGTAGAAACTAATAATGAAAGAAAAATTCTTTCAAATAAAAGACAGGGAAAAGCTATTGGTTTTTGAGCTATTGAGATTCTGATCTCATTCAAGATGGAGAAGGCTTAAGAGGCATCTGCACAGATTGAACCATATGAGAGTTGAAAAGATAAGCCCCCAGTTCAAATACATACATTTATAAATCTTTTTTATTTCAGTAATTATTGCGTTGTCTGTACATTTGTATTACCGTGTTTAAATTTTAACTTTAATAATTTTTTATTTGATATAATTTATACGTTTAAGCCCAAAGTCTGTCACTAGTGTTCAATTTTGACTAGCTCGGAAGATAATTTTTACATGCTTTTTTGCATAACGACTGGACTGCCAGATATATATATACATACATGTTTCACTATAATCTGCATACTGTGACGTTTTTACCACTTTTATCACTTATATTCATGCAGATAGAAGGTATAATTACATCATAATGATATGGATGGATGCCCACACTGATATGGTTTTAGCTGTCGTTAAAAAATGTCTCTCTTCTATATACATTTCATATAGACAGATAAGTTAAATTGAATGTGGAAACTGTGACGATACCATAAGCAGACCTGTTATTAAAATGCGACATTGAACCTTTAGTGATGTTATGTATGTGTAATAGGACAAGGAAAATGATAAAGATAGTGCCGTCGCTAGGGCTCAAACCCGCGACCCTTTGCTCTCCAGACAGATGCTCTACCGCTGAGCTAAAGGGAAATTCCCTGCAGCTGACGCTTGTAAGGCAACCTAATCAATCCACATCTTTTACATATAAACAGACCAGCTAAATGTTATGGGGAAAGTGAAGCCATACTCATGTGTAGACATTTAAGTAAAGAGTCTAACTGAGATATACTGTAATCAGGACACAAACATGATGATATTTCCACACATTAACATATCATAGACTTGAAAACTGGTATCATAGACAGGAGCTATGGGTCAACTACTAATCTCGCCCATTATGAATCTCATAAAAATATCAACGAAGTATTCAGAACAAAAAATAGATAAATAGTTTGTATAATGGAAATGTATTATATTTGAATGTTATTCATGCATTATATTTCTGTACATGTATTTTATATGTGTATCACTTTTGTGTTACATTTACTTATGTGATATTTTACAGGGGAGCGTCCCTATAAGTGCAGTCTATGTAACAAGGCCTTTAACCAGAAGGGAGCTCTCCGTATCCACATGACCAAACACACAGGGGATCGACCCCATATGTGTGATTTCTGCCCATCAACATTTGCTCAAAAAGGAAACCTCAGGGCTCATATCAAGGTAAAAATGAAAATAGCTAAATAAACTTGTTTTGTAGATTGATTATGAACATTCTTGTTTTATCACAACCCAAGAAGAAAAGAAAGGTTTATACTGTGATTAATGTCAGAAATGATTATCTTCCTTTGAACTAAATGGGGGGGGGGGGGGGATTATGTAGGATGTTTACCGCATTAAAAACAGTTTGATCAGCGTAATTTGTTTGCAAAATAATAGACATAATAGGCTAATTCTGTTTTGTGAGATCAGGTTTGCCCATGAAAGTAGATGAAATTGTTGTTCTGGATAAACTAAAAGGCTTTAGTTTGATATACATGTATAAAGATTTTCCACCTTACATAATAGGGTATATATGATTTTTTTTACAAGTTCTCGTATGATGTATCCCTGAATTCAATATGACAATTACTATTTCTATTAATTGATGATCATTGTCATAACCTATACAAATATGTATTTTGTTTTGTATAATGTTATAAACATACAAATCAAATTTCATTTCCTTGTGTATACTTTATAAAAGTTTAAATCCGCTCAAATTATCTAGCGAGTACATACACTGCCAAGGGACCAGGAAAATAAGCCAGCCTTTCAGTGTGACGAGTGTAGCTGTGTGTTTAAGAAGCTAGGCAGTCTAAATGCTCACATCAGTCGTGCTCATACAGATGGTGGAGTAAGTAAAGATCAGCTGTAAAAGTGTAGAAACTGTCCATAATATCATAACTTCAGTTAAAAATTCTTTGAAAAAAATTCCATGTTGATCTCATCAACAGATAGTTAACAGAATTTATTTTTGATAAAGGGAATGCTGTGGTTTCAATTGCATTTATGTCTGCAGGCTGTAAAAATCCTTGAAAATTCGTCTTTCAAGATCTGCTGTATAGAAACTTACTTTCCAAATACTTATAGTCTTGTGTTGTACGTATCTGCAATACTTTTACCTCATCCTGGTCCAAAGAACCAAGGTATGCTATTGCAGTACTCTGTCATCTGTCTACCAACCTTTTCTTTAAATGGTTTCACAATGTGTGTCAATAGCTGGCTGTGGTAAAGGACCATGACCATCATTTCACCATCATTTGATTTTCAATTTTCAAATGAATGGATGTAACCCTCATTCAAGGTCACAGGGGTCAAAACTTCATGTTCAAGCTTCCAGGTGAGCAACACAGCCCTATTGACTACTTTTATATATTTCTTCGCTGTTACCTATCAGAAATCAAAATCAGAATATGTTGTCAGTTGAGTACATCTCTTGAAGGAACCACCCACCCAAGTTGAGATTGGTAGTGTGAAAGACAGCTGCCATCGGACAGTTGATGAGAATGTCATCAACCAACTATTGGGTCTGTCGGAACAAACCATAGAAACTTCTGTGACGGCCAATCAGCAGACAGTAGAAGGGTCAGTTACAGATGACGACCCAGACAATCCACAGGTTGGTAATAAAGACAGGATAGGGAATGATAATATCATGAACTGATAAAGGCAATCGAACCTAAATGAATCCCAGTACCTTTTATTAATCCCTTCAAATATTTTGTAACCTTTAGTGAAACTGGTGTTTTACTATCCTGTATAGTTTTGAAAGAAAATGAAATGAACTATGGGAATGTTAGAACAGAAATCATTATAAAGATATGTTTTTAAGCTATCTTTTTCAGCACATTTAACAAATATCTAACGTGTCACATTGGTAATATCAGATTGAAAATGATTGTTAGATTCTGAGTTCTGTATCTCTGGGATTTGAAGGATTTATAACAAATTGTTCTGTAATATTGACTACATTTGTAATAAGGATATAATTATTCTGTGTGATAATTAAAAAAATGATTATTTTACCATAAACAGAGTTCAGACATCCTGCAACAAGCGTTGCAGAACAGTGGACTACCGAGTGGTGCCGAGGTGGGTGTGGAGTCCACTGCTGTAGCATCACACGTACTGCAGGCTATTGCCCCTACATCAATGTCCATATCAAGCTCTGCCCCAACTCCCATCATCCAGACTATCACCACCATGAATGTTCAGGACACAGCAACAGGCTCCATCAAAAAACACATTATCAGAAAGGTATATATAGGCTTTAATTGTCTGCTTAACTCATAGGAAGTCTAGGTTTTCTTACTATGCAGGAAGAAAGTTCTGTTTTAGAAATACGTTATAGTATCTAAAAGTTCCAAATATTTTATATTTTATTTCTTTGGTATATATTTTAAAAACGAATAGACATATTTTGTATCCTGAGATAAAACATTAATCTGTTAATTTCATTTTTGACACATATATGTCATATTTCGCCATGACAAATGATAAAGACTGAAATTACTAAAACGTTCATTGTGGGCATAACCTTGTCTTTTTATAGTTGTGTAGAAACCCGTCATAGAGCAAGCCTCCGAAAATCCCCCCACGATGTTCCAAACGAGAATCACGAACCCCCCATTCCTTATTTGTACCGAAATGAGCGCCATTTGTACACAAGACTAATAAGTCATAGTCATTTTAACGCTTGCCTGTATATCAACCCTTATCTTTATTCAAACGTTTTCGGGACTTGGGTGACTAACGAGTAAAAACGACATGCGGACCAATTTTCCGGATTTTTTAAAGACGGTGACTAGTGCATTCACGATTTTTTTTTATTACTTTCACCATAAAATCTGCAATGCAGTGCCCTAAAATGAAATGCGTGCGGGCCTGAGAACCAAGTAATCAATTTTGTTTGGCCTAACTGTAAATACAAGACGTATAATGAAATCAGTGATAATGTAATTATTCTATAATAATTGATATTATGTTTACTTAATAGTAAGGACTTAAATGTTTATTTAAATACTAAGACTTGTTATTACCTGCGTAGAGTTACCTGTAATTAACTTATTTGACCAATCATTGGCATCTTGACTATTACCCTTTTAAATTTCACCTGTGATTGATTTACCTGACAGATTAATGGCGTCCGGTGGCACCAGTGTACCTACTGCACTAAGGAGTTTAAGAAGCCGAGTGACCTTGTCCGCCACATCAGAATCCACACCCACGAGAAACCTTACAAGTGTACGCAGTGTTACCGGGCTTTCGCTGTCAAGAGCACCCTTACCGCACACATTAAAACTCACTCCGGTGTAAAAGACTTCAAATGCCACGTCTGTGACAAACTCTTCTCTACTCAAGGAAGTCTCAAAGTCCATCTGCGGATGCATACAGGTATGATGGTTTCTTTTCAACATTAAACGGATTGTTTTTTGCATTAATAGATAAGTGTCATCTAAAAAATAAAAAATTGTATGAAGGTCACTTTGAATGGAATAGTGTTGAAAAATGAGAAATTTATTTGATGCCTATACATTTTAAGGTCACCTGAGCTTTAGCTCAAGTGACCTATTGCTATCCGTTTTCGTCCGTCGTCGTCCGTCGTCCGTCGTCCGTCGTCCGTTAACATTTTACATTTCAAACTTAAAGTCAAGTTCTGCTGGGCCGATTGAACTGAAAGTTGGTAGGAATGATCGCCTCATGGTCCTGACAAAGTGTTGTTATTTTTCGGGTCGATCAGAAATCCAATATGGCCGCCACGGCCGCCATTTTGAAAACCTATTTCAAACTTAAAGTCAAGTTCTGCTGGACCGATTGAACTGAAAGTTGGTAGGAATGATCGCCTCATGGTCCTGACAAAGTGTTGTTATTTTTCGGGTCGATCAGAAATCCAATATGGCCGCCACGGCCGCCATTTTGAAAACCTATTTCAAACTTAAAGTCAAGTTCTGCTGGACCGATTGAACTGAAAGTTGGTAGGAATGATCGCCTCATGGTCCTGACAAAGTGTTGTTATTTTTCGGGTCAATCAGAAATACAATTTGGCTGCCATGGCCGCTATTTTGCTACTAAGTTCTAATAGGCCGATCTCACTTAAAATTGGTCTAGGAATGATCAGCTCATGGTCCTGACAAAGTTAAGTTAACATTATACTATTTTTTACTCAAATTGGTACATATTTCAACAACAAAAATAAATATTGTAGGACTCAGGTGACCGTTAAGGCCCATGGGCCTCTTGTCAGTTGAAACCTTTAAATCACTTATAACAAATGATTTGAGTTTTCAGCAAGTGATTTTGTCACATTCGTACCATGTTGTACTGTGAGAAATATATTACAAGCCTATTACTTTGTCCTGGTATGCTTTATTTTCATCTGATACTATAAGAATCGTATCACTTTTGATAGGAGCCAAACCATTTGACTGCCCTCACTGTGACAAGAAATTCCGCACCACCGCTCACAGGAAGAGTCACATAGCCTCACATTCCAAGGATGATGGCATCAAACGGCCTCGGAGGACATTTAGACGGACAGCCAAGTCAGATCTCTCACTTCCTGATATACCCATGCAAGAACCTATCCTTATAACAGATACAGGTACTCTTTTATCTGTCGTATTAGAACAGTATGTTCTTTCTATTTTGTACAAAATTTTAAAAGTTGGAGTATTGATTTAATTTTTCGAGCTCTTAAGTCTTTGTTATATCCAAGATAGAGTATCATTGCTTTTAAATAGGTTTTAATCAAATTGGTTTTCAACAAATAACAAAGGCGAGAATAACTGGTTTCTAAATTAAATCTGGGGTTTATGCAAACAATTTCATACCTGTTAACGATGATATGTTTTATTGGAACCTCCTTCCCCCAACAATCCAACATACTTCTAGTCTGATTGCTAAGTAGATGTTTAAAAATAAAAATAAACTGAAACCAATTCCTGTTTTTTTTTACTACTGACTCCTGTATTAAAAAAAATATACTGTTTCACGAATATTATTCTATATACTGATTATACTGTATAATCTTCCCTAATACTGAATACTGTATAATGTTGGTACAGTACACTTTAGTCTGACTACTGTGCCTTACATAGATACATACATTTATTCTGCCTTGTATCTTGACTAAACTGTACATGTTATCCTGAAAACTATGTCCCACGTTCTGCAATACCTGTTTTTTCATCAGGTCTGATTCAGCAGCCTCCTCGGAACAACATCATCACCACCTACCTTGGTGAAGCCGGCAGTGTGGATAGACCTTACAAGTGTGGCTTCTGTCAACGAGGCTTTAAAAAATCTAGTCATCTCAAACAGCATCTCAGGTCCCATACAGGTGAATATAAACTATAGTCCACAGGAGATAGATTATTGAGATGTGGTTTGTTAAGTGAGGATTCAATAAGCATATGTACTATAGATTAATACTCTTAGCGAAAATTTGCTGGCTCATATATATAATTTCATGACTTTTAGTATAATAATTCAAAATGAACATGACATAAATCTAGAGAATTGTTTTTCCTCAGGAACCTGAAATTTTCAGCAAAAAATATTATTAATTTGTTAAAGGTCTTTTTCCTTGAGACTGGGTAAAGGTATGGTCTAACTTATAAGACAATATCAACAGCGGCTTCAAAAGATTCCCAGCTTGTTAGTGTGAATCTGTCTGACATCATAAAAATGAAGGCATTTTATCTATCTCTGGATCTCTGAAAAAAGATACATAAAATTTTAATGGCTGATTGATTTTTTTCAGGTGAGAAGCCGTACAAGTGCGTGCAGTGTATGAGGTCATTTGTGTCAAGTGGGGTCCTCAAGGCTCACATCCGTACTCACACAGGAGTGAAAGCATACAAGTGTCCCCTGTGTGATAGTAACTTCACCACCAACGGCAGTCTGAAGCGCCACATGTCAACACACAGTGAGGTCCGACCCTTTATGTGTCCTTACTGCCAAAAAACCTTCAAGACCTCTGTCAACTGTAAGAAACACATGAAAACCCACAGGTATAAAATACTTCAAATCTAATAGATGTCTTTAAATATTTCAAGTTGAAGTAATTTATTATGTTACTGTAACTAATAAACTTCTTGTTATCGTAACTTTAACATTGCATTTCATACTGAAGTTAATGGTACATAAAGATTATATCTTCAAGTCCACTGTTTCATGAAACAAATTGACAAAGACTTTTTGTTGAACTTTAAATTCCCCACTGAGGCCCATCTTTTTATGTGGTTGGGACATGGATCTAAGAACAGTTATTTTACAAACCCTTGATTACACTGTCAGAATTATACACTGCTGAGGAGGGTATGAAATCTCATATTATCTCAGGACATGTTTGAGTTTAAGTCAATGCTAAATTAACAAAACAAGTTATATCAATATATTCTGCAGGTATTTTGCATTACAACTGAACATGTTTTATCAGAATGTAGACAGGGTTCAAAAACAGAATTGGAAACAGATTTTTTAATGAATTATTTCATGAATCTGCTTCAAATAACTTGTTTTTAAAGCATTTAAATTTGAAACAAATAAAACATTCATTGTTGACATGTATTTGAATAGAAGTCATGAGAATTGTGTATTTCAATTAACAATATAAAATTAGATGAGGTAAACTTTGTAGGTTTGACTTTAACATGTCTCCTGGTGTTTGTAGACATGAGCTGGCTATTCAGGCCACCATACAACAAGGAGGTAGCTCTGGTGGTACCGACCACCTGGCAGATGACAGCCCAGAGAACACAGACTCGGAAATGATGAACGAGACTCAGACTGCGGAGCTGAATCTCAACCACCAGGAACTAACCACCACGTCTATGGCACAGCAGGAAATAGGTCAGCAGGCCATCCTTACTCAGTCTAACATACAGGATGCCCTGAACACTGCCAGCCTTGACCAGCAGCTACAGCAGACCCTCAACCAACAGGTGCATGACACTTCTTTGCCTTTTCCAATTATCTGAAATGTATCATGATCAGTAAATTTGATTCTTCTATAACATGTCATCTATATATCATGTCCAGAGTTTGGGCTGCATTCCATGAGTGCCGATCTAATGACTGGAACTGATATACAAATTATTTTGATTTGTTTTTATGCTTGTAATCAAAAAAATATTTTTTAAAGTTCAAATTCATTGGATTGAAAGCAATCTGGCTTGAAATATTCACAATTAAAAGTAGTATGTATTTAAATTAATTTGTCTACTTTGTCATACAAAGAGTATTGGAATCAACAGTAAGCTTTGTTTAATTTTGCAACAATAGTTAGTACATCTATCTTTTGACAGGGTGACATTGTACTATAAGTATCTTGCCTTGTTGTAGATTTTCGGTCAGCAACAGACCTTTAGCCAAAGTTTACTTGGACCAGGGCAGCAGAACTTTAATCAGCTTAACAGCCAGCTTAATGCCTACAACCAATCTCAGTTTGGACTACAGGTGGGGACATTTTCAGTTATTTAAAAGATAGCATTGAGTCTGTTTTGTATTTCTAGGGTGTTTTCATCTGTCATCATGATAATATTTTTTTTTTTTTTTTTTACATTTAGACTGATATGTAACTTACTACATATTTTTCATCAACTTTTTGTTTATTTCAGACTCAGCAGCTACAGAACAATCTGGACATAAACAATCCATACACAGGGTACAACCAATCAGTGACCTCCCTGACCTCTAGTCTCCCCAGTACCTCCATGCAGAACATACTCCCCACAATCTAAGTGACCTCCCTGACCTCTAGTCTCCCCAATACCTCCATGCAGAACATCCTCCCCAAAAAGTAAGTGACCTCCCTGACTTTTAGTCTCCCCTGTACCTCCATGCAGAACATGCTCCCCTCAAAGTGACCATGTAGAACATCCTCCCCATAAAGTAAGTGACCTCCCTGACCTCTAGTCTCCCCAGGACCCCCATGCAGAACATCCTCCCCACAAAGTAAGGGACCTCCCTGACTTCTAGTCTCCCCAGTACCTCCATGTAGAACATCCTCCCCACAAAGTAAGTGACCTCTCTGACTTCTAGTCTCCCCGGTACCTCCATGCAGAACATCCTCCCCAAAAAGTAAGTGACCTCCCTGACTTTTAGTCTCCCCTGTACCTCCATGCAGAACATCCTCCCCACAAAGTAAGTGACCTCCCTGACTTCTAGTCTCCCCTGTACCTCCATGGAGAACATCCTCCCCACAAAGTAAGTGACCTCTCTGACTTCTAGTCTCCCCAATACCTCCATGCAGAACATCCTCCCCACAAAGTAAGTGACCTCCCTGACTTTTAGTCTCCCCTGTACCTCCATGCAGAACATCCTCCCCTCAAAGTGACCATGTAGAACATCCTCCCCATAAAGTAAGTGACCTCCCTGACCTCTAGTCTCCCCAGTACCTCCATGCAGAACATCCTCCCCACAAAGTAAGTGACCTCCCTGACTTCTTGTCTCCCCAGTACCTCCATGCAGAACATCCTCCCCACAAAGTAAGTGACCTCTCTGACTTCTAGTCTCCCCAGTACCTCCATGCAGAACATCCTCCCCAAAAGTGACTTCTTTATCTCTGGACTCCAAAATATTTTCATGCAGAACATCCTCCCCACAAAGTAATTGACTTTTACATGCAAAACATCCTCCAGAACAAAGTGAGGCACCTCCCTGACACTTGTTTCACTAGTATCTCTATGCAGAACATCCTCCCCACAAAGTGACTTCTTTATCTCTGGACTCCAAAATACTTCCATGCAGGACATTCTCCCTACAAAGTGAGGGACCTTGAGCTCCCTGTCCCCAAAGTCTACCGAATACCCTTATGCAATACATCCTCACCTTAAAGTGACCTCCCTGACCTTTTATCTCCCCAATAATAAGTTAAGGTTCTTATATCCCGTTTGATCATAACCTAGATTGTAGGTCGTCTCAAAAGTTCACAAATTATTATCCATGGTTATAGGGCCGTTGCAACCAGCCAATATGATTATCTTTCTCAACTCCCTGGGGAGCATACAGCCGGTGCTGCCATTTCTCAACTCCCTGGGGAGCATACAGCCGGTGCTCACAGCTAGCATTCCATGCTGAATGAAAATCCAGCTGACAATATGTATCAGAGGTCAACATTTTTTCAATGCCTCCGCTAGGAGCTGAACCCAGGACCTCTGGATTACTAGTCTTACGCTCTAACGAATGAGCTCAATAGAAATTCTCCCTAGCCAAGTTGGTAGGAATCAGCTAGGGTGACAAATATAAGTGACTGGCTTATAGCATGTGGAGGTGGTGGTATTAAATGAATAGAAAATGTATATCATCCCTCTACTTCTGTTATTTTTATCAGATTTGTATGAAACTGATTGCTGTTAAATAGTTTCAGTAATAGATTATATTGAATGTGTTTGATCAATCAAAGTTGCGGCTGCTATGAATTCTTTGTGCTTGGAATTATAATACAAGGTATATTCATGTCTCACAGACAGTATTTAGTTTATCCTAATATCTTTCTTTGTTTCCATAGTGATGGCCAAATTCCAGAGGCCCAGGAAGCTGACTCCTCAGAGCAGGAACAGGCGGTCACGGAGACTGACCAGCAGTACGCCCTTATACCACTGGATGATGGCAAGCGTGTATACAAGTGTGACTATTGTGATAAGTCCTTTAAAAAGTCCAGTCACCTGAAACAGCACATCCGGTCCCACACAGGTACGTAGTACATCAGCTCAGGGACTTGAATGTTACCTGTACTGATATATCTTTGTTTGGTTCATCCCCTTCAATACAAGTAGATGTAACTATTGTTGCATTGTCATTTGGGCCACTCTCATTGGTGTGCTCCTTTATGCCCACTCCCCTCTAACACTGTTAAATAAAGCTGAGGGTTAGTAGTGCTCAATTCATTTCTTGGTCTCAAAAATGTACATAAAGAAAAATTAACACTTAAGTATAGCATGATAAATCAAAATTTACATAAGCGATATTTTGGATCTATATGTGATCTTAGATTAAATTCTAGAGCTTATTCAGCAAACAGCTCTGATTTATTATCTTAATTATTTATAAGTCTTTCTTAAATTCTTTTCATTGTGAAAAAAAATCACTGAGCTTTTGCTGATGTTACTAAAAGTGAATGTTTCATTTAACTTAATATATAATTTGATGTATGACAGGTGAGAAGCCGTTCAAGTGTCTGACCTGTAACCGGACATTTGTGTCGGCAGGAGTGCTAAAGTCACACTTGAAGACCCACCAGGGCATGAAGGAGTTTCGCTGTCATGTATGCCAGGCAATGTTCACCACCAACGGTTCACTCACGCGCCACATGAACATCCATGTGAGCCAGCGTCCGTTCAAATGTCCGTACTGCCAAGAAACATTCAGGACTTCCTCCATGTGTAAACGACACATGCGGCTTCACAGGGAAGGTAGGCATGGAAACCCGACTGTATATTGTGCATTTGTGGGGAAACAGGGTGTTAGGTATGAATTAATATTTGTCCCAGCCTCCAAATAGTAATAGGGTATCACATTAAAGAAAGCTTTTTTGATTGAACACCCTCAAAACAGTCAGACTTTCAGATAAAATACTTTCTCATAGAGTATACAGTTGAGCGTCTCCAATCAAGCCACTGTTGTTTCCAGCTAATGTGGTTAGATTTCGAAGTGGCCAGTTGCTACATTACTGTACACTTTTAAATAGAAGAGAGAAAATCTGTCCCCTGACACTATGGCTGGATAGTAGGATAATTAGGTTAGAGGTAGCTAGATTCAAGAGGCTTGGTTTATAGTGTTAGCGTATATTGTTGTTCCAACTTCATTAATCCTGTAATCAGGAAAAGGTCATTATTCCAGGGTTGAAGTGTTAGCTCTGGATTAACAAGGTTCTTCCTCTTATGCTCAGAAATTTCTCAGGAATATGTTTTCAAAACTTTTTTAAGGCAAATGGATTTTCGATTGCTATTATCCAGAATCTTTTGTTTTTGTTTTTAATTAAAAGAACTCAACTGTAATAACATTTACCATCTGTATCATGTATCATTGCATACATATCTGTGACCCATTGCCACGTTAATCCTTGATCTTCTCCGTAGGCAATGACGAGGATCATACTATACTACCGCGGAGAGCCAAGTCAGTGGTTCATGTTACGGATGAACAGACGGAGGAGTTGTCAAGGACAGCTGAGGAGGAGGATCTCACTGTGTCGCAGAAAATCTTACTGGAATCTGCAACTGAGAAGTCGCGGGTCAGCGAACCAAAGGTAAATTATTCATAGGGAAACTGAATCAATTTGATAGACATATACTTTAATGTCTAGGAACATATACTTTGTTACCTGGTAACATTATTTGGATTCACACCTCTTAAAAGGAACAGTTTTTACTGCTGCAGGTTTTAGTGATAATGTGTGTAAACACTGAAAAATTGTTGATGATGTCTTTATATAGAAAACAATTCCTATGATTATATATTTTTCACAGGAAATGAGAGAGGAGACATTAGAAAAAGGACCTAAATATGCTCACCAATGTACATACTGTCAGAAAAGCTTCAAGAAGCCGAGTGACTTAGTACGACATGTGAGAATACACACAGGGGAGAAACCTTATAACTGTGACGTCTGCCACCGAGGCTTCACCGTCAAGTCTACCCTCGACAGTCACATGAAAACACATAATACTAGTAAGTGTTTCCCCGCTCACGTGGTAGCTTGTCAGTTAGGGTGTTCACAATGCATTATAAGGCCTTGTAATATCATGAACAAATAATGTGCCAGTATATTTGCAACAATCAATTGGAAATAATAATATCAAGTGTTTCAACAATTTTAAGTATAATTTCTGAAAAATGAACAATGAAATTTTCAATTCTCACCTTCCATTTTATCAAATTGATTAAAGACTGATTTATTTCTGTTGTTAACAGTAATGGAATATGTGTTGCAGGATGATTTTGTTCTACTGCCATGTGCTTTTTGTAGCATAAAGAATGAATATAATTAAAATTTGATTTAATTTTAGATGACAAGCGGTTCAAATGTCATGTGTGTTCCTCCATGTTCTCTACAAAAGGCAGTCTCAAGGTTCACATGCGTCTACACACTGGAGCCAAACCCTTCAAGTGTTCTCACTGTGACCAGCGTTTCCGCACATCTGGTCATCGCAAGAGTCATGTATTGACACACAATCCAGGCCAGCCCAAGCGAAGGAAGGCTCTAACTCAGGTCGTACCTGATGTCGACAATCAACAACAGCAGCAGATCAACTTACTGAACGGAACAGATGTACAGAACATTGTTGTGACTAGTCAGCCCAATGTTGGTCAGGTGATCAATATTGACCAATCAATGCTACAGGCCCAGAATGTGTTACCAGTGTCACTAACGGTACAGGACAATATGGGTCAGCTAAACGAGAGTGCCCTGGCAGCACACGTGTTACAGGGTCTCGAAGGAATACAGTTACAGTTCACTGGAAATCTAGGACAGGGTATTCAGATCACGGGGCTCGACCCCAACATCTTTTCACAGACTGTACAGATTGACACCAGCCTTATACAACAACTACAGAACCAGGGCAATGTTAACATTACCATCAACCCCAATATCATCACCCAAACCACACTCCAGGCCGCCGACCCCAACCTCGTACAGAATGTACAGAACATACAAATACAGAACGTTCAGCCAGTGACTGTCCAGGAACAGATCAACCCCAATGTGATCATTCAGCCCATGTCTACAATCACGGTGCCCCATATAGAAAACCAGCAGCACCTGGCCAACCTACAGGGCCTGCAGGGTATACAGAACATACAGGGTCTACAGGCTGCTGGGCTTGTACAAGGCCAGGTTACCATGCAGGATGGGGCACCTAACTCTTTCGTTGTCACGGCTGATGGGACTCTGGCCACTGACCAACAGGTATTAAGCTTATAAACTGACCATTTGCAACAAGCTGTTTATAGAAAACTCGGACACAAACCTATCTTACTTAACTAATTATATTTAAGATAAACAGTTTTTTATAAAAAAAAAAAGTTATAACATTTTTATGTAGACTACATGTCAAATCAGTAATTAGAATTTACTCAAACAGAACTATGTACTAGTAGAATCAATGCGAAAGCCAACATGAAATTTGGTTAAGATTGAAGAATGACAATAAATTTGTTGACAGAAGAGCTTCAAAATTTGAAAATGAATGTTGTAAGTTACATTGTATAGAATGCACATCATTTTTCTTTGACCAGATAACGGTCACCCAAGGAGACTTACAAGCACTTCCAGAGGTAGACGACACCAACATTGTCAATGAAGATGTTGAGGATGATCTAGATGAGGAAGAGGAGGAATTAGATGATGAGGAGGATGACATTGAAGATGCGGTTGGAATTGTAGGATCGGTAGATGAACATAATCCCAACCTTCCTGACATTGAGGAAGAGGAGGAAGAGGAGGGTCTGACCCATGGCAGCGAGTCGGCCAACATTAGTCTAAGTGATGTGGCTGGTGGGGACAAGTTCCTCGGCACAGGACGTCAGCATACCTGTACAGTAAGTCACACTCACTACGCTGGTGTGGTCACTTGGTTTAAACATTCTGTTGTGTGCAATGCAATCAGTCTGTGAAGACCAGATCATTAAAATGAGACTAAAACATACTAAAATTCTATTTAATACCGACCATGATTAGAAGCATGCAAACTAGAATTGTGTTGTCCTTTTCTATAAAAAGACTGATACTTGTATATGAAAACTGGTTCAGTTAAAAATTAAAGGTAGTGGCCAAAAGACTTAGCTGCCTTAGATCCTCTCCAAGTTTGTTTAAACTGACTTATTCAAACATTTTTCTGTGGAAAACTGCAAACATTTGTATAATTGATATGAAGGTAATTTTGTATTGCTTTGTATTTTCACTTATATATGAAAACTGGTTCAGTTAAAAATTAAAGGTAGTGGCCAAAAGACTTAGCTGCCTTAGATCCTCTCCAATTTTGTTTAAACTGACTTATTCAAACATTTTCCTGTGGAAAACTGAAAACATTTGTTAAATTGGTATGAATATAATTTTGTATTGGTTTGTGATTTCAGGTTTGCAATAAGAGTTATAAGCGATCCAGCCACTTACGGGAACACATGGTAGTACATGACCCATATTCCTCACCAAAGCGAAATAAGTACGCCCCACATCATTGTGATACGTGTGAAAAATCATTCCAGAAACCTAGTCAGCTGGCAAGGCACAAGCGCATCCACACAGGTAAGTGACATGAATATAAAAGCTTGCGTATTTTTATCATGTGTTTTCATGAACAGGAAATCCAGGGCTTTTGGATAGTATAAGTAAAGGTTGAGTCCACATGATCAGAAAAGTATAGGCCATGCCCCCCAGTTAGGGCAAGTATAGGTCATGCTCATAATAGGACAAGTAAAGGCCAGCCACTTATTGATAGGATAATTAACGCCCAGGCCTTCATAATAGGACAAGTACAGGCCAGCCACTTATTGATAGGACAATTAAAGGCCTGGCCTTCAGAATAGGACACGTAAAGGCCAGACACTTATTGCTAGGACAATTAAAGGCCAGGCCTTCATAATAGGACAAGTAAAGGCCAGCCACTTATTGATAGGACAATTAAAGGCTAGACCTTCATAATAGGACAAGTAAAGGCCAGCCACTTATTGATAGGACAATTAAAGGCCTGGCCTTCATAATAGGACACGTAAAGGCCAGACACTTATTGCTAGGACAATTAAAGGCCAGGCCTTCATAATAGGACAAGTAAAGGCCAGCCCCTTATTGATAGGACAATTAAAGGCCTGGCCTTCATAATAGGACACGTACAGGCCAGACACTTATTGCTAGGACAATTAAAGCCCAGGCCTTCATAATAGGACAAGTACAGGCCAGCCACTTATTGATAGGACAATTTAAGGCCAGGCCTTCATAATAGGACAAGTACAGCCCAGCCACTTATTGATAGGACAATTAAAGGCCAGGCCTTCATAATAGGACACGTAAAGGCCAGACACTTATTGCTAGGACAATTAAAGCCCAGGCCTTCATAATAGGACAAGTAAAGGCCAGCCACTTATTGATAGTACATTTAAAGGCCAGGCCTTCATAATAGGACAAGTAAAGGCCAGCCACTTATTGATAGGACAATTAAAGGCCAGGCCTTCATAATAGGACTACCATTTTTATGCTCTCATAATGATCAAGTATAGGTCATGTCCTTGTGATAGCACGAGTAGAGGCCATAATGATTTGGCAGAATAATACAAGATCATGACTAAAACATGTATCATTTTTACAGATCTTCATCATCTAGTTCAGTTTATGCTCCCAAGACAGCACTTGTAAAGACCTAGCCTGCTGGACAATCATGCTGGCACCTCTCATTCATGAACTTACATTTTATCAATTAACAGTTCAAATTCTAATTCGAATCCATTTGGTTATTTTGATTGTGCTTGAAACATGAATTTTGAGGTTTTTTTATTCTTCAACTTAATTAAGTAAAATAGTAAAAAAGCTTACTCTTTGTTTTGTTATTATAGGTGAAAGACCATTTATATGTGGAATTTGCCACAAAGCTTTTAACCAGAAAAATGCACTTCAGATCCACTTGAAACGACACAGTGGAGAGAAACCACACAAGTGTTCCTACTGTGAGCTAGCCTTTACACAGAAGGGGAATCTAAAAACTCACATCAAACGGGCTCATCACATGGACATGGTGCACTCAATGAACTTACCTAAAGCACTGAGTTTTGTTCCACCAGCTGGCGCCACTGTCAGCGTGAGTACAGATGGTGATGTCAACCAGGATTCCAGTCATGATGTTGTGACAACACAGGAGGAAGATGGAATTAACTTGGAGGAGGTGGCTGACTTGTTCCCTTGACGACCAGTAAATGGATAGGTGCTTTGTTATTCTGCTGAAAAAATGGCTAATTGGAAACAGAAATAATAATGTCTTTCTTGTGTGTAATACAAAGAGGAGAGCAAACATAATTATGAATGTTCAATTTCTGTTTCTGATAATTATTGACTATTAATATATCTTTTTAATTTGTGCTTGGACCTTAAGGATGTTTTTTTGTAAGTTTCCTTTGATGTCACAGACATAAGTTCATCTAATACAGAACACTTGGGTTGTAAAAAAGAAGAATTTTAAGAAGAATTTAAATCAATTCCAGTGAAAAACTTGGGACCAGATTGATCATTTTAATAAAAACCCATGATCTCACTCCTAACTACATGTCTGTCATGTGTAAGGGGATCTATTGGTGAATCAATCTCCAGCAGGTTTTGCCTCACAAGTTTTATTGTGCTATAACTGCCTGTTCATATTACGGCAGATAATTCCTTAGGTCAGTATGTGATATAAACTTGCAATTGTGATATTTGATGTTGTAATAACAACTTGATCCATATTAATTTATAAAATAAGTTCCCCACAGGTACTACAGATGTGGACTGTAGGTTTTCACTCCCCTCCCTCTGTATTCTGTCTGTATTGGGACAAAATTGGACTTGGTTTTCACTTACCTCCCTCTGTATTCTGTCTGTACTGGGACAGATGTGGACTGTAAGTCTTCACTCCTGTCCCTCTGTATTCTGTCTGTACTGGGACAAAATGGGACTGTAGGTTTACACTTACCTCCCTCTGTATTCTGTCTGTACTGGGACAAAATGGGATTGAAGGTTTTCACTCCCATCCCTCTGTATTCTGTCTGTACTGGGACAGGATGGGATTGTAGGTTTTCACTCCCTCCCTCTGTATTCTGTCTTTCCTGCTCTACTTTGGTACATATCTCCGATACTATTTTACCTGGAGTTACCAAATATTTTGTGCAAATGCATTATGGGATGACAACCTGCTGTTAAGGGTACAGTGATCTATATTTTGGCATCAGACCCCTGCTTTTAAACTGGTTGTCTTGGGTATAAAGGTCACTGTAACCTATGGGTTAATGATTAAAATCATAGAGGTTGTTGATATAGAAAATATGTTGTTGTAGCAAAACAATTCAGTCATTACAACGATGCCTTTGATATACCCACATGTATCAGTATTCTCTTCTGACAAGTGGTTGATCCAGAGATATTTCTGATAAGTGTACAGTTGGATAAATATGGAAATCGCTACCGATGGGGATAATTGATTGACTTGCAATGCTTTGCCTTCTTTTAATGTTCAGAAAAAGAGGGAAAATTAATCTGCTGAAGATATATTTGAAATCCAATTGCCAATCAAAATGTTTATTAAAATACTCACAGAAAGTTGTAGTATGAATACATTGTACAAGATAAATGTGCTAGCATTCATAAGAACACATTTGAGAACATGTGAAGTATGAATGTAAATGTATTATCGTTATCAAGATTTAATGTGTAAAAAAGGCTGTGTGTGTGTGTGTTGAATGCATCATTTTTTTCTATATGCAAATTTGCTAGGAGTGTGTATTTTGAGAAATACTATATACCTGTAGTATAAGTTAACTGACATTGTTGAGATAGTTAAAAAAATCCACCAGATTTTGGATTCCTTATTTTCAATGACCCTGTGATGGGCAACAGTTAGTGACCGACGGGAAGAACAGTAGGAACTCTGTAAGCTTTGCCAGGGAACTTTTAACTGAAAATTTCACTTTAGTTACCTTAAGTTTTAAAAATTGCAAGATTTTTTAAGAGGGAGTAATTGAAATTAAACTAATGTTATGACTGTTTTATTTGAACATATCGTTATTTTTAAACATGGTGCTGTGTAGGAATAGATGATAGTAGTCTTGGACTTAAAGAAAGATCTTTTCATGTGCTTTTTGACAATTATGCCTCTTATTTATTTTTAGGTTTAATGTTATGTGATTGGGACATTCCAGCCACTTGTATATAAAATTCTTTTCAATTTTTTTTATCTGACAGTCTGGTTTGATGGTCATTTTTCCAATCATTTCAACAATTAATCAAAGACTGATCTGTTGTAATTTATAAATTCTTTTTCAATTGAGTTTGTCCCAATCCTGTGATGGCTTACTTCAGTATTACTGCTTATGAATGTCCGGTATCACAATGTTACTGTTTTATATGTTATTGTCTGTGTCCGATGTCACAGTATGACAGCTCGTGTGTCTGACGTGATTCCGTTAGTGTTATTGTTGTGTTTGATATCACAGTATGACAGCTCGTGTGTCTGATATCATATTATTGCTTACACCTGATATCGCAGTATGACAGCTCGTGTGTCTGACGTCATATTATTGTTTACACCTGATATCACAGTATGACAGCTCGTATGTCTGACGTCATATTATTGTTTACACCTGATATCGCAGTATGACAGCTCGTGTGTCTGACGTCATATTATTGCTTACACCTGATATCACAGTATGACAGCTCGTGTGTCGGACGTCATATTATTGCTTACACCTGATATCACAGTATGACAGCTCGTATGTCTGACGTCATATTATTGCTTACACCCGATATCACAGTATGACAGCTCGTGTGTCTGACGTCATATTATTGCTTACACCTGATATCACAGTATGACAGCTTGTATGTGTCCGATGTCATTCCGGTAGTGTTATTGTTGTGTCCGATATCACAGTATGACAGCTTTTGTGTGTCTGATGTCACAGTTTTGCAGTTTGTGATACAACCATAAGTAAATAAGATTAAGTCACGTACCATGGAAAGAAAGAACGAGGTAATTTAGTGTCAAAACATCTGATTGTATGTCAAGTTGGTGTCGAATCATGTTGTTAAAAAAATGTCACAGAAATGATTTGGCTTCTCAAATTTTACAGTTTTTTTTTAGAGGGCTAGTGGTGCAAAAGAATGTTTTGTGTTTATTTCAGTAAAATAGACAACTAAAATAACCTACAATTTGGAGGAAATATCTCAATTGTGTTGTTTACATCAATAAAATCATTTTTATTATGGAACGAAAAAGGTTGACGAAGCTTGGAAATGTAAGAAATTTTTCTCCGCTTCTTTCTCCAATACCATTTATTATTGCGTATTAATTAAAATGTTAATAATTTATTAAATTGAATTTATTGTTTGTTTGTTGTTTTTTTCACTCACCTCACAAGATTACCTGTCTAGTGTACAGGAAACACATTCAGAACACCTGGGCTATGTTCAGTAAAGAAAACATTCTGTACAGTTTCGCATATAAAGGCGAAATGCAAATTTTGTCAACTTGTAAGGTAAACCAGTAACTTGACGTCATAAATTGTCAATATAATTTCATTAGGAATGGAAAATGCCTCATAAATTTTCAATATTATCAATATGAACATGAATAGAAGAGCCAATTGAGCTTATGGTATGGTGTGTTGTCCGTCATCAACTTCTTCTTTGAATGACTTCTGAATAGCCAGGAGGCCCAGAGTAATGAAACTTAACCAGTAGGTACCTGGCGTGGAGTGCTATAAAGTTTCTCCAAATAAATGACTGACCTGCTTCCGAGGTCAAATATGTAAAAACCTTTTAAACAACTTCTTTTGAAATACCAGGAAGCCCTGAGTGATGACATTGACCAGTACCATGCTGGAATAGAGAAGTGTACATTTTCTTTTATTCTGGAATAAGGCCAAGGAGACGAAATATGTGGAAATATTTGTAAAATTACTTTATTTATTGAGAACATTTTCCCATGATTGCTCAAATATCCAGGTGGGCAATACAGGCCCTCTGGGCCTCTTGTTTGTGCTTTATGTCCTTTTAACAGCTATGGTCATTTAAAGTATAGGGTCACGGTGGCCAAGTGGTTAAGGCATCTGACATTCTGCCACCACCACTAGGTTGCGGGTTCGATGGGTTTTTGATGGGAACGGCTTTCCTCCACCACCAAAACCTGGCACATCCTTAAATGATCATAGCTGTTAATAGGACATAAAACACAAACAAACCAAATTAAAGACGAGCCCGGTTTTGGCGGTGGAGGAAAACTAGAGTACTAGGAGAAAATTACGGACCTGCAATCAGTATCCGGTGACTGCCCCACGTAGGCCTCAAACCTGTGACCCAGCGGTGGAGGGCTAGTGGTCATAGCAGTCAGACACCTTTCAATGCATCTTCCTCTATAGATTAGGTCCTGTGATCATGAAACAATATTAGACTTAAAATCTCTAAATTTTGAATGTTGATAAAATGAAAATTTTTGATGTTGGTTAAAATTCTGTGTACCATATAGTAAAATATTAAAATTTTGTACACGCATGTTATATTGAAAAAGGACTGAAAAATTATACAACATCCACATTTAGTTCTTAGTCTAAATGTTCATGATCTCAAGTCCAGATATTGGTATACTGAAGCTAGACTGTCGAGTGATGTAACACTCCAAGTAAAGAAAACACACAAAAACATACAGATTACTGATAGTTCTGTTTTATTTTTAATGGTAATTCATGGTTACCTGAAAGGTATGATATTTACGATGAAATATTTTAATTTTAAAAATTGTACACAAGGTATAATAAATTCCCCACTCTTTAGGGTGAATAGAATTCGGTCACCTTCAGTCATTCCAAAATATTTTAATATTTGTAGTTTATCAATGAATATATTGCATGTTTTACCTCCAAGGAGGGGAAATATCTGGATACCATTGGTATAATCATCAGAAATCTAGTTCAACAACATACATCTTACTTGATGAGTGGTCCTCTCTAGGTCTTCATGATTGCAAAATTATCTTTTGCCTCGTGGATTTACAAAATAAATGCCTTAAAGACAACAAACGATATGTAAATTATTCTGTGTTCTCAAACAAACTGAATATAAACTTGTATATATATATAATAATATTATATACAAATATGTATAATACCATATATATCATAAACAATTATAAGCACTTACTTATATATATTGCAAAAATGGTTTGGGTAAAAACCTATGGGATTTCTTGAAGACCGTCCCTGCCTATTATTAAATAGGAGTTGACGGAAATATATAATTATACAAATTTAATAATATAACAATGACATATACACATGCTTGTTTACAAACTCTTTAACCATGTAGTGAATATTTACAAATCCAGAGACTGGAGATTATCTTTAATGGGAAATCAGCTGTAATATATAAAAGGTGTTTAACATGTAAAATATCAAACTTGACCGTCTTCTAAACTGGAGTTTCCTCCCCTTCAATGAAAGAAAAATGCTGCTCGATTTTGAAAGAAAGAAAAGAAAAAAAATGATGTCATGAATAATTTGAACATGATATCACTAACCTTCTGAGAATTTTCCTATTGTATAAAATGCTTGTGATGATGTAAGCCTAATGAGTGCCAGATTGCATGTGCTCTATCACATATGATATGTAAAAGCAGATTTACCAACATGTCACAGCTTGGTATAACATGCATGTTTCTGTTACAGCCATTTTTCAAAAAATTATTAAACGTTCAGGTATTATAAGTAGAAGTTCTTTTCGTACTGGTGAAACAAAAAAAATCCTTTTGGGTTTTTTTCATCTTAAAAGTTAATTAAAAATATAAAACAACAATGCTCTACACATTTTATAAACAATTGTTTACAACATATATTGTAGATTTTGTGCATGCAAAAGACTTGACATAAACAAAGCATGCAGAAGTTCAAATATTTCATCACAAATCTCACATAATTTGACATAAAACCAGTAACAGTCAGGTTATAGATAAAAAAAAACCACTTCATTTAATGAATACCTAGTTTCTGATTCTTCATAATAACATACGTCCACTAACAAAACAATGAAGAGATGGATTTCAGTCAAAGAAATTATGCTTAAATATTAGATATTGCAATGTCTTAGAAACAAAGGAGAACTGATAAAATATTGCAAGCATTAAATACTGAATAATGATTCAGAAACACCGTCTTTGGTTTCTTTTGTATGGACTAAAATTCTTTGGAAATTAAACAAAAACAAAAAATCTATTCTAGCAGCTACTGTTAAAGCTTTGAATTCAGAATAAGGATTTCATTTAAAATGCACTATGTTGTATACAAGGGAGTGAGAGCAGATCTAACCAGCTGATAAGTAACCTCTAATTCATAAGATAATGTGGGAATAGGCTTGAAATTTTGTACCAAGACTTAGGCCTGTTATTACCATTGTTTTCACCTGCATCTAAGGCACCCTGTGTAAACACTAAAACAAGTGCAACACTCTCAAAATACATGTATTGGCAAATTGTTCAGGACTTGAATATTTTAGCAATTCTTCACACAAAGAAATAACGTGTTAATTTTACCTGCATAGTGACGGGATATGAGTAATGTTTTGTATGGTATCTGGATCTCCAGGTGATACAGGGTGTTTTGAACACATACAGGTTGGTCTATCCTGTTTTTACCATGTCACCTGTCACTTCTATTTGTCAAATACTCTTAACACCATTAACTAGCTAAGTATTTTAAGACATTGTATTCCCCATCAAATCATAGATGACCTCAATGTGACCTTTGAGCCATCATCAGCAAAATATAGGATGGTCTAAATATTTTATCAAAACAATGAAACTTTCTATATTTCTGTCTCTGTGTGCTTTTAAAAAATAATCCACCCATCCCCCAAATATTTGTTTAATTTTCAATTTTTATGTTCACATAAAACACTGTATATTGACCTTTGGCTCGATCTGAAATTCATCATTATAACAGAATAGTGGAGAAATTATTGGATAACATAGTGGAAATTTAGAGAAAAAAAATCAAGTATATAAGCAACACAAGGAAAAAATACTGATGATCAAACCATATTGAAAGTTAATTCTATGAAAGAATAAATCTGAAGTTTCTGAAACTGTGAGGCCATGTAAATTAACGGTTTATGCAACGAGTGCCTACACTGCCTGTACTGTACCCTATAAGTAGCTCCCTTCCGATTCTCCCCAGATACCCCCAGGCTCGTGAATGTTATACCAGTGCAGACAGTTTTAGTACTGACTTCTCCCCACCTCTACTCTCTGCAGTAAACAAAAGTACACCTGTCAGGACCCATAACTCCTCAGCTAGATGTGGCACACAGCCGCCATGTTAGACATACAATGGAGGTTCCCCCACCCCACTCCACCTCTAATTCTTAATGGTGATATGCCACTGAGGTCCCTCTACCTTACACAACACCAGAGGAGGCTACAACATATCCTCCTTTGGTGTTATGAGGAGTGGCGGAAGCCCCTGCCTAGAGGTGATGTGCTGCCATGAGATGGGACAAGGTCCCCCCTCCCTGTAACAGGGGATGAAGAATGACTGACAGATCTATCATCAAAAACACCTGGATGTCCCACTATTGTCTTGTCAGGTCTGACAAGTCAGCAGGATACACACCTCGCTACACACGTGAGGGGGGAGGGGGGAGGCATGTAGTTGTTCTGGTGAGATGTTGAAATGGGGGAGGGGCAAAGGGTTATAAAAAGCATTATTTTATTTTTTTTATAATGTTTCACTTTTTTTCAACAGGTCTATCATTGTTAGATGGGATAAAAAGACTTTTGTTGTTTGATACCAATTTTCATCGATTCAAAATTAATATTATCTTAAATATTTCTGAAATTCTTTTCTTTCTACAAATACAATGTAGTTGTTGTCAGTATCCTGAGCTATCAATTACCATGTAAATTAGGTAAATTAACTACCACGTAGATATTTACATAACTTTGAGGTAACGCTGTCGTCATTCTGACCACAGAAACGTTGTTAAGGAGTTACTTCTGACATCTGGCAGGAAATCAAATCTACATCAATTCTCACAGGCAAAAAAAAATCGAAGATACTTGATAATTTACGCAGGAAAAGTCAACCAGCCATTAAGATTTATTTGCGTTCATTTTTGTTGGAAAGTCATGAAAATGAATGATAAAGGAGTTTGCAGGATAAAAAAAGTCTACCAGCAATTAAAATTATCTTGTGTTTAGTTGTAATCGTCTATTACTATATACCATCACAGTTCAAGATCGTGATCAGTAGATCTAGAGGTAACAAGTAGTTTATACAAATTCTAGTACCAGCAATGAATATTGGTTAATAAGTGCTTTATACAAAACAAAATTTAATAAGACATTCTAAAAATAAATAAATTGTTGTTTAGTAGACAATAAATAAAGTGAAAATAGTGTAAATAAATAGAAAGTGAAACAAAATAAGTGCCATTTAGAAATTCAGCAGAAATTATATAATTCAGGAAGGTTGAAGCTTCCGTTAAAACCACGTGCACATCCTGGTTAAGGGGGAAATTGTCATTTCATAACTATGCTTGGCCATAAATCTGAATGCCATAATCTTATACACTCCTCCATAACTTTAAGAAGCGTTATCATATAAATATATTTTAGCTATTAATCTTAATTTCTAAAGCATATCAATCCAGTAAGCCGTAATGAAACAAAACACGAAAACATAAACTTTTGTGTAACAAGACCATGATATTTTGATGGATTTATATCTCAAACTTGTATCAAGACAGGCAACGTTCTTAGTCATATAATTTTTTTTTTTTTTTTTTTTTTTTTTTTTTAGATTTAAGTAGATAAATTATGCGATGTTTAATTCAGACTTTTTATCAAATTTTGTTTCGAGACTTCCTGAAATCAGACAAGGATTAGAATTTGTTGTCACACACAATATTTACCAGGAAACCATTAAAAATAAATAAAATGTTATGCCTTAAAGTCAGGATTTTTTTAACTATGAACTTGTCAGATACTACAGTAAATAGACAGATTTAAAAAAATGGTTTGAGGGAATATAATAATGAATCACCAAAGCAGGAGGGCAATTAGAGGAATGGAAAGACACTTAATTGGCTTTAAAAAGCAATAGAATTAAAAATGTTCCATAGAAACCATTACATTTTGTATATGATAATGAAATTTGAAGCAGATATCTTATATTTACATATAAGAAGTACATTTGATGGAAAGCTTATCCAAGTCCATACGGACTCTGAATACAAGTAGGCTTTAGTGAACATGTCTGCATGTATTCAGGTTTTGTTACTTAAACTGAAATATTATTGAAATAAAACCTGGATATTAGCCAAAACCGTTGTTGTGTCATACAGCAGATGAGTCTACTTATGTGTAAATATGATCTTTTTGTGGTGCAGATACAGTCGTTGTCTCTGGACCATATCAAACATGACAGCTGTACACAGATCACGACTCACTGTCTGTCTTCTGTGCCAATCTTACTCGCAGGACAGACACAAATGTTCAAGGTCACTCACAAGGTCATCCAACTGTCTCCATCAACATATACTTCCTGCACACTTAGTCCTATTTCTTCCTCCCCGCTGACTTCCCCCACGGAGAAAGTTGTAGTCACTCTTACCAATTATAAAAGGTAATTTAATCTTATTTAACATATGATGTATTTCACTATTAGGAGAAATAAAAACCATGGCAGTTACAGGTAATTACCAAAGTTACCAGATTAACTCTATTTACACCTGTTGATCTTCTACAGCAGTCACAGGTTAAGTAGTTTTCTAGATAGAACTCTATTTACACCTGTTGATCTTCTAAAGCAGCCACAGGTAAGTAGTTTTCTAGATATAACTCTATTTACACCTGTTGATCTCCTACAGCAGCCACAGGTAAGTAGTATTCGAGATAGAACTCTATTTACACCTGTTGATCTCCTACAGCAGTCACAGGTTAAGTAGTTTTCTAGATAGATCTCTATTTACACCTGTTGATCTTACAGCAGTCACAGGTTAAGTAGGTTTCTAGATAGTACTCTATTTACCCCTGTTGATCTTCTACGGCAGCCACAGGTAAGTAGTTTTCTGGATAGAACTCTATTTACACCTGTTGAGCTTCTACGGCAGCCACAGGTAAGTAGTTTTCTGGATAGAACTCTATTTACACCTGTTGATCTTGTACAGCAGCCACAGGTAAGTAGTTTTCTAGATATAACTCTATTTACACCTGTTGATCTCCTACAGCAGTCACAGGTTAAGTAGTTTTCTAGATAGAACTCTATTTTCCCCTTTTGATCTTCTACAGCAGCCACAGGTTAAGTAGTTTTCTAGATAGTACTCTATTTACCCCTGTTGATCTTCTACAGCAGCCAAAGGTAAGTAGTTTTCTAGATAGAACTCTATTTACACCTGTTGATCTTCTACAGCAGCCACAGGTAAGTAGTATTCTAGATAGAACTCTATTTACACCTGTTGATCTTCTACAGCAGTCACAGGTTAAGTAGTTTTCTAGATAGTACTCTATTTACACCTGTTGATCTTCTACAGCAGCCACAGGTAAGTAGTTTTCTAGATAGGAACGGGTTCATCCCATTAACGATTTCCAATTCCTAAAATAAAAATTTGGCCGGTCTGGTTAGAAATTGTATAAGGTGAACAATGATTGTGGCATACTTTACACATCCAACATAATGTATACATCAGTTTCTGTGATTGCATACAGGTTTTGTAGATAGATCTCAACTCCTCGTCACTTTGTCAGTGAATCGACAATGTAACCAACGTTAAATACTAAGTTACAGTACTATTGTATGTCAAACTTCACATGATAAATGTCCTTCGTACATTATTTTGTATTATCTGTAGCCTATCATGTTAATTTATCTGTAGCCTATCATGTTTACTACCTGCCTCACTCTACCTTTCCCAAATACGAGTCTGACGATCTGGTTAGCTTGATACACCTCAACTATTTGCACCTGCAATATTATCTTATTAACAAACTTCTTTATGGTTTCACATTGAACGAGACGTTATTGTTTGTATGTATGAAGCAAGTAAAATTCCACAAAATCTGATGGCATGTACATGAAATATCATGTACCGTGAATTCTGTCTAATCCGACCCCCCAGTATTCCAACATCCTATCTATTCCAACCTAATGTTATAATCGCTATTCTTATCAAAACTACCAAATAACACTAGTGTATTATGAAATCCTGTCTTTTCCACTATATTAATATATACTTAATCCCATTTTTATAAAATCTATTTGATAAGACCTGTCTATTGAGACATCCTATCTAATCTGACAAACTAGACAGATTACAAAGATTTCACCATATCCCATGTCTAACACTGTCAATGCTGCTTGAGCTCTAAATATAGTTTCTATTATGAACCCAGACAAAATGCTGACAATCAAGTTTGGTCAAAAAAGACTTTAAGAAACTGTTATTGAAATCTTTTAGCATACAATGTACATTACCACATAAAATGTCAATTATCTTAAAGCAGAATATTTTATGCAAAATTTTTAGATTGTTTGTATCAGTAGATATGACACAAACCCATAGACCCTGAGGAGCAGTGGAATTCTTACTTAACAGAAAAACAAAAACATGTGTATTAAAAATCACCTCCTCTTACACTACCTATTATGAAGCTGGGGACCAAACAACACATTAAAGTTATTTTTCACCTGTTTAATTTCACCTGGGGACTTTCTCAAAACATTCCTTACAAATGAAATTGAGGAAGGTACTGACACATCAAGGAATGTATAAATATATTGTCAACTGACAACTTTTCAAGCAGAATTTTTGTCAGTTTCATATAAGGTCCAGTCAATCAACAATTTTAAGAAATTTGAAAAAGAAAGTACAAACAGGACTAGCATTTTTAGCGTAAATGGGGGAGAAATGTCTATTGGCAAGCAGCTGTAAATAAAAACGTTTACATCTTTCATTGACGGTTCTTGATGTAATTACTGCCTATCAACTCAAAAAAGCTCTACAGGACCCAACAGGTAATGTCATTCAATTCATTCTCAGGCCAATTAGGTGATACCAATTAATACTAGGATTTCAGTAAGCAGCACTGGGAGGAGGTGACTACGACAAGGTCAGCATACCGTCATAACTACATCATTCTGCTATTGGGCAATACTTTAGGAATTCTATGAAAAAACAAGAGGCCCATGGGCCTTAACGGTCACCTGAGTCTATAGTATTTATTTTTGTTGTTGAAATATGTACCAATTTGAGTAAAAAATAGTATAATGTTAACTTAACTTTGTCAGGACCATGAGCTGATCATTCCTAGACCAATTTTAAGTGAGATCGGCCTATTAGAACTTAGTAGCAAAATAGCGGCCATGGCAGCCAAATTGTATTTCTGATTGACCCGAAAAATAACAACACTTTGTCAGGACCATGAGGCGATCATTCCTACCAACTTTCAGTTCAATCGGTCCAGCAGAACTTGACTTTAAGTTTGAAATAGGTTTTCAAAATGGCGGCCGTGGCGGCCATATTGGATTTCTGATCGACCCGAAAAATAACAACACTTTGTCAGGACCATGAGGCGATCATTCCTACCAACTTTCAGTTCAATCGGTCCAGCAGAACTTGACTTTAAGTTTGAAATAGGTTTTCAAAATGGCGGCCGTGGCGGCCATATTGGATTTCTGATCGACCCGAAAAATAACAACACTTTGTCAGGACCATGAGGCGATCATTCCTACCAACTTTCAGTTCAATCGGTCCAGCAGAACTTGACTTTAAGTTTGAAATAGGTTTTCAAAATGGCGGCCGTGGCGGCCATATTGGATTTCTGATCGACCCGAAAAATAACAACACTTTGTCAGGACCATGAGGCGATCATTCCTACCAACTTTCAGTTCAATCGGCCCAGCAGAACTTGACTTTAAGTTTGAAATGTAAAATGTTAACGGACGACGGACGACGGACGACGGACGACGGACGACGACGGACGAAAACGGATAGCAATAGGTCACTTGAGCTAAAGCTCAGGTGACCTAAAAATATATATCAAAGGAAGTTATTGACAAGTACAACTGAAAACATAAAATCTTTGGGCAGTGGTATAGTGACGATAAGGAGAATGGTTTTAAAGATAGAATTTAAATTTTGTAGATAAAGGTTATTTCCCCTTGCTAGCTAATTCATGTGCCATTTCATAGTACTTTGAAAACTTAGCAGTGTGATCAAGCGGGAGGTAGACATATGGGCTCATATTGAACGCCTCTTTGATGCCGTATCGTTTTACTGAGGATAGGTGACACCTACTTAGGTGGTAGCGATACGATCCTTTGGATGCAAAATGTCTGCTACATGCAGCACACCTATACTCTGCAGTACCGTCACTTTCGCTACCACTGTGCTGACTACCCTCATGGTCCGAAAACCCATCCCTCTCTACAATGTCACTTGTGTCATCATCCTGGCCCTTTTTAAGGGACAGATTCAGAGGCAGCCCTGAGTCAGGTGACTCAGCCTGACGTAGATATTTGATAGACTGAGACGAAGCCAGTAACTTTGGTAGGTCAGTCTTAGTGATGAGTTTCTGCAAACTGTCGAGGGGATGTTCACTGTTGAGAGGTTGCCCGTACACAAAGCTGCTCAGTGAGTCGAGAGCTGAGGACCCAGACTGCGAGTTTTTGGGTTGCCTCACCTCCTCCTCTTCACAGTTCAGATATTTACTAGCCAAAGTTTCACCGTTTTCAGAATTGCCAGTGCTCTGTGATTCCTCATTGTCCATGGAGGGACTCACTGGCTTACGAACACTTTCACACATTTTTTCCAACTTTTTTAGATCATCCTTTGAACTAGACAACGTGGAGGGTGGGTGAAGACATACATTCAGCGTGTCCTGTACCTCACTTGAAGATTTTTTCACAGATCCGTTGCTGCGAGGTTCATCTTGTTGAAAGTATTTTCTGTATTTCTCAAAACGGTACAGTGCTCCATGTTTATGTTCCCGGTCGTCACGGTAAACAGATGGCTTCAGGAGGGTTTTCTCACCGGTATTGAACACCATGTTTCCTCTGTGATAGTCAAACTTTGATGAGAAGCTTTTCTGAATGAAGGATTCCATTGCCTTGAGGGCAGAATTATCTTCCATGTCCTCTACACCCCTGCCTGGATCAATGATATCAAGATTCTTGGCTGAATCGGTGCTCCTCCGAACCCTAGAACTTTCTGATATGTCACATTCCAACCTCTTCTCCTTTTTCACTTTCACATGTAAACTCTTCAGATCCTTGTTTTCCTCTGAGGACCTTCCAGTCTCCTCTGTTTTTTTCACTGGACTGTTTCTTGGAGATTCCGCCAATTTGTCTTCTCTTGAATGTGGGGACTTGGGATGAGGGGACGGACCCTCCATTTCATTGCTAACAGCCTTGACCTCCTCTTTGCACATTCCAGGTGATGGTACAGACATATCTTCACCCGGCTGTTCCTTTGGAATTAAGCATTTTCTGCTTTCCTGTTGTCCGTCAACACCATTTTCCTCTTTTGTCCGTTTTTCGTTGTGCAACTCTTTACCATTTTCACAACTTGTACTACTTTCTGTTTCTTTGGATTTTTCAGAGGTATTCAGCACTTTCTGTTTGCTGAGAGACAAATCAAGTTCCTTAACATCTGGCTTAGTGTCCATATCCTCATCAGAATCCTCTGGCTTATCAAACATTGATGCAGCATCTTCATCTACATCATCTAAGTCCTGGGAATCATGGGATTTCTCAGATTTAACAGAACTTATTTCATCCTTGAATACACTCATCCTTGCTCTTTCAAAATCAGCATGCTTTGTGCGAAGACAGAGCCTCACATGTTCAACAAAGAACTGAGTCTCTATTCGGTCGCCACAGTTCTCACAGCTTATCGAACTGTCCTCCGGAGGATCACAGTTTGGGCTGTCAGCAAAGTGGCGGTGGCCGTTCATTGGAGGAGTCACTGATTGACTTAGACATTTACGTTTGTAGTTCAGAAATGATGCAACATTAGGATTTCCTAGACCTTCAAAACTCTCCTCATCACTGTAATATCGCTTCCGTCGACCACGGAAAGCAAGGTCATTGAGATAATTGTGGGACCGAAGAATGTTTTTCTTGTGATGTCCCGACATGATCATGTGATTCGCCAGTCCTTCCATGTCACTAAATGTACTATTACATACCTTACACTTAAATATACACTCGCGGTCCAGCTCACGGTCACAGTATGCCGAACACTTGTGTGACCGTCGGCCATGCTCGGAACTGACTATTTTCGTGTAATGTTGTGTCTGCATCATGTGGACAGTTAGCATTGGCAGGGACTTGAAGGACTCTCCACACTGCATACAGCGTAGAATCCTCTTGGTGTGTTCAGACTCCTGGTTCAGCCACATGTCCTGTCCTCGCACCAGTTTGGGGTACTCCATGATGGCTGCCTGCTTGGTACTGGCAGGTGTGTGTCCCGATTCCTGTAAATGTATACTCAAACCATACAACGTGTTGTAAGTTTTTAAACAAGTGCATTTATGCATTGTATATTTACAGTCTTCATCAGCAGTATCAGATTCATTCCCCTTCACCTTTATATTGGAATTCATATCTGTATCATGAAGTGAAGGTGAAGAGTCCTTTTCTGAATTTGTAGAGGAACATTTTGATTTCTCCATGTTTTTCTCTAACCTTGAGGAATGATTAGGACTATGAACTTGTGATGGCTTAACTACACTGCCAACATGAGATTTCTTGACAATATTGGAATTCTTTAACTGACTACTACAGTTTAAATGCATAGGACTGTGAGATTTAGATATGTCAGATACCATTGGCAAAAGCCCACTGATGGGCTTCCTCACGGACCGCATGTGCAGATTTCCCCCGAAGCGTTGCTGGAGACTCTGCAGTGTTGATGGAATATCACGTCCTCCAGTTGACGGAGAGTGGTGACCTCCGGAAGATTGATTCCTTCCAGAATGATAGTGTCCGTTAGAACTTTTGTACTGAGACTTGCCACCACTTTTGTCACTTGCCTTCTTGGACAAGTCTAGAGGCTGTTCCTCCAGATGTTTCCTCGCAGAGGGGGAGGTGGACACGTGGTGGGGGTGGTGGATGGAGGAGGGTGATTTATCTGCAGCTGCTGAAGAAGGAGTATATGGGGTAGAAAATGTGTTTGGTAGTTTATTCGAGTACATTTTGGCCTTGGTCATTGTCTGCTTTGGATGTGTCGGTGCATTTTTTATAACCGACATTGCAGATAGAGTCATTGGAGGTATTGGAAACTTGTTTGGAAAAAATCCATCTTTAAAAAGTTTCTTTGGTGGGGTGTGTTGTTTCTTTTGAAGAAACAGTGGCAGAGGGTCCTGCCTCATGAGGCGTTGTAGTGGAGGTGTCTCAGGCCTTGATGGGGAAGAGGATGAAGTCTTTGTGTCCTCATCCCCATCCTTTTTCACGCCAGACTTCTGGCTTTCCTCCTTGATAGGAGACACAGTGTCATCCATGTGATGTGGCATGGTGTCCAAGGACATAGGGGACCTGTCCACATCAGAGTTTGACTCCTGTCCCTCACTCCCTTCTTTCTCCTCCTCAAGTGGAAAGTCCTCTCTCACCTGCTCCACTACCTCCTGATCAACATCCTCAGTATCCAGACCTCCTGCCTCCTCTAAGCTGTTGTCATCGTTCATACCATTGTCTTTGTCCTCTCCAATGCCCTCATTTTCACCACTATCGCACCCATTTTCTTCGTTTGCTGAAAAACACAAAAAGGAACATTAGCTGTGAAAACACTAGTCTCTCCCAAATATAAATCTAGGCCTGAAAATAAGATATTAAACAGTGAATGAAGCAAAGCTCAGGAGAGCTTTCTAGACAGAGTTGTATTTCATGTAGTAATTTAATGGATTATCAGATCCTGATTATGATATTGTAATTAATTTTAGCTTTTATTATAGATATATAAACTTCCTTTCTTTTTTTTACAACACTTATGAAACAAGTTTTTATATATACTAATATTAATCACTCTTGTTGGCCCCAAATATTATCGCATTGGGGATCTTAATACGGGAGGAAACCGTAGTACCAGGAGTTAATCTTAGTGGTCAGGCAGGTGACTGGCCATACCTTGGCCACCTGAGTACCCACATTCTCATATTAATTGAATTAAGAAAAACCTTCAAACTTCAGTGACTGTGATAGTGAAGTTTGCCAAAAAAACAACTCAATTGTGTGACTTCAATTTTAAAACAAGAGGCCCAAGGGCCTTAGCGGTCACCTGAGTTATATCATAGATACTGGTAGCTTTATTTTATTGTTTAGATGTGATGTGGAAATCAGCATGTAAACTAAGTGAAATACAATACTTGTCATGTCATCAATGGATAAGAATTTGAAAATATTGGTAAATGTTCCCTTTGGGGCCCCGC